ACTGTAGGTGCCGAGGGACGATCCTGTCCTTCTGCTCTCATGAGCCGAGTTTCCTGCTAGTTCCAGGATCTCAGTGATCAGGCACTCGAGCATAGCTGGCAGGTAGATGAGAATGCATCCAAAGAACATCCTTTTCAACTCATTTGAGATTTGTGGCTGTAGTTGAGATATTATTTGAGCTTTTGAGATGTTAATCAGCTGCTGTTGGTTGAAGAAAACTACCTTGTTGCCATGGTTACGCATCATAACAAATGTCCAAAACTAAAAAAGTTTCAGTAAAAATCCTTCCAGCTGCACAGCATCTGATACCAGAGGAAACAATCATCCGAAAAATGTGATTTACATCCAGAAAAAGAAAAACAGGAATAAAAGTTTCCAAAAGCAAAATCTCAGAATGAAAGTAACAGAGCTGCTCCAACATGCAGCCACCTTGAGCGGCACAATTCATATAATGACTAATTGCTGGATGTCCGGCCCCTGAGCTGCTGGCTTTCAGAAACTGTGGCCCCTGAGCAGTTTTGTTGAATAGCCCTGACCTAGAGTGAAGGCATCTCTGAACAAAACCCAGAAAGTCATCGAACAAACTTTTCTTGTAAGATACACATACATAACTATATCTCTAAATGTAGGCATTTTTGTCATCTAAATTTTAAAATGACCGCCAAGTGGCAGTCCCCGTCAAAGTTTCTCCAGGAACTTTCTAGCTTAAATATCTTGTTTGGGAAAAAGGTAACCCATGTATTCAATCATGGTGTATGTGGCATCATGGTTTGACCTGTTGAGCTGCATGTTGGTTCAAATAACCGAGACACTTTTAATTATGCAATTAACTGTCGTATGAAAAATGTCCCTAAAAACAGAAGGAGTGAGACAGTGAGCTTAACACACAAATTGTTTCATAAAATACTATTTAGGGTAAAATAAAGTTCATTTTTTTGGAACATTAACTAGGTAGAAATGACCGGGAGAAATCAGTACGTGAGAAAATCCACCAACATCTATGCAGAAGATGTTCTAGTAAATCTCTTAAGAGTCTATGTGACATGTGTTGCCCTATTTTACAGACTTCCACAACACAAACTTGAGTCATGGCAAATTTCAAACAACCTGAAAGCAACCCAAGAACAGAACAGAAGGAAATCGTATCCAAGAGATGTGGACTTCGACACACAATTTTCTCTGTTAATGGGGATAAATACACTGGAGAGTGGCTCAACGACATGAAGCATGGTTAGATTTTAACATCAACTAAACGGACTATAAATCCGCCTGTACCGTAAATGCTGAAATTAGAACCGTTTTTTTATTTATTGCGTCAAGGTAAGGGAACTCAGGTGTGGAAGAAAGGTGCCATGTATGACGGCGAGTGGAAATTTGGAAAACAGGATGGATGCGGCACCTACAGTGTGCTTCCTCCAGGATCTACGGACTATACAAAGAAGTACAGCGGCGAATGGAAAAGCGGGAAGAAACATGTATGCTTTTCCACATAACCAATAACATGCTACTGTCATATTACTGACATATATTCCTCTGTCTTCAGGGGAATGGAAAATACTTCTACAATGATGTGTCCGCCTATGAAGGGGAGTGGAGCGAGGACCAACGAAACGGCAGTGGAAGGATGTACTTTGAGAATGGAGACATCTATGAGGGAGAGTGGATGCACGATCAGATGCACGGGCAAGGGTTCATTCAATTTTGTAAGATTCTCGCTTTACATCGTTCTGAATAAAAAGCAAACTAGGGATTGTATGTTTGACTTGTACAACTTGTTTAAAGCCAATGGAAACTGCTATGATGGCAACTGGAAAGATGGCAAGAGGAACGGTGATGGGAAGTTTTTCTACACCGACAGAGGCGTGCTGTATGAAGGCTTCTGGGTTGACGGAATGGCCAAATGTGGGACCATGACTGAATTTAGGAGAGACGAAGCTTCAGCACCATCCACTCCATTTCCAAAGGTACAAAACTGTGACCGTTAGTTCTGCGTTTGATTAAATCACCTTTCACAGCACACTGCGGATGATATACCGAGTACATTTCATTTTCTTTTCAAGTTACTACTGAAGGATCCGGAGAGGTCTTTAAGGGAAGCCAAAGCAGCCATCATGGATAATGAGCGTTGCTGACAAGACCGAGAGGACGAACGTCAAGTTCCCACTGGCACACTTTTCAGTTTTGATGCAGTTTGGTTGAACAAAAATAAATTTTGACCAATTTATTTCCACTTTCTGCAACCGTTATGGAAAATTACCTATTCAAACTGTAGAAAAAAACATGAATTATTCACAAAACATAGTCATCTCAATACAAACACAGCCTATTTAAATTTGATGTAGGATTATTATTAAACTAAAATGCAATAAAGCTGCTTTTTTTTTGTTGACGTGGAAACATTTCTAAATGAATTCTGGCTAAAGCCAGCCCAAAATGAAAAGAGATCATCATTGTGCTTCTATGTTTTATGCTACAAGTACACCAAAAATACATATATATTTTTTTTATTATTTTCAACATTTAAATGAATAACACTAGCGATAGAAGTCAAACCACAGATTTCAAGCCAAAATGTTTTGTTTGTAAAACTTGTCTTTTAAACATTGAACGCCACATGGTTTAAAACTTGTTTATTTTCCCACCACAACTTGTACTAAATGCTACCAAGTTTGGCAGCTGTTTAATCAGTCAACAGCAAATACTAAGCAGCACAATTCAATTAGCATCACAGCAGTGGATCCTATAAATAAGCAGAGTTTAATAACTGTGGTTCACGAAACACAGCTCCAGTGCAACACATAAACACGAGTGGGATTTCATAAATGAATGCAGCGATGATAATGATGAGACGGCTGCCATAACCATGTTAAAATCAATTTTCACATTTGAGACAGCAGTTCAAAGCAACATGCATTATGGCAGCTTTTTGAGTTCACAGTTAAATTGTGCCTTCTACAAATACAACTTTTCACAATTCTTCATTCCTGTTAAAAATTCTGAATCCCGAAATTGCGTCTTCCTGTCTTGGGGAAAAATCCAAAGGAGTCAAAAGATCCTGCACAGATGCACTCGTTTTTTTTTTTATGGAAAATGTGAGCTGGGCGAGTGCAACATGGACGACTCCCCCCGGTTATCGAGCTCGTTTTGAAGCCTGGTGAGGTTAGACAGCTCCTCAAGCTCCTGGAACTGTCTGTCAGTCTTGTGGCTCACCAAGGAGCGATAAAAGTGCACGGCAAAGACTATGAAGATTAAACCAAAGGGAACCATGATGGAGGTGGAGGTTATAGCAGCAGCCACGCCGGATGAAACCGTACTGTTGTTGGACTTGATGGGCTTAATTGGCAAAAACTTGACCCAGCAGAGCAGGACCACCTCTGCGAGGAAAAGCAAAGTGCCAATGACAGTGGAGAAAGCCCACGCCAGTTCAATGTGCCGGTGCATCCTTTCGTGCGGGGACTCCTTCACAGAGTTTAGATTGTGCACGTTGCTGACGGCCTCAATGTTTGGCAGAATGCAGGTGCTGACCATGAGAGCAAACAGGTGCACGGCAACAAGCACTGTGGTGCAGGCACTGAAGGCGATGAGGAGAGCAGGTGGGTAGGGGTAACTGTGTTCCAGCTGCACTTCTACCATGGCCACCTAAGGAAGGAGACAGGAAACCATTAACACACCTGCTTTGTCACGTGCCTGATTAATCAGAGTCAGAGAATGGCTGAAAGTGCATGTTACCATAGCAAACCCGGAGAGGAGAGCTGATGTCCGGCTGGAAGCCTTCAGTTTGGCTCGACTCAGGTACAGTTTTCTCCAGGACAGTGCTTGAAGTGAGTGCTCGTTCAAACTCATGTTGCGTCTATTACAATAATTATAAAAACAGCGACCGAGCAGCGCGGCTCTTTGTAACTCTTGGGCTACAAGACGGAGAACAGCGACCGACTATGTCCACCAAGAAACCATTTAACTTCGTGTGCCGACGAGAATCGCGGAAGCTGTTTTTACCACCCACAGTTTTCCTTTAGCATGTTGCGCTGCTACTGTCTGCACCTTAAATTACCCAGAAGCCCGCGCGCGTGCCGAGGCTCAGCAGCTGAATCTGTTCAGCGGTGGGAATTTCAATTCGGTTTCAGGATTTGACTCTTTTTAGCTCCGCTTGACCAAAAAGAGTCGACTCTCAAACGTTCTTCTTTAGTATAATGCTTCCGGTTTGCATATACATACTTGTAGGATATAACACTTTTCTAGACTTTAGTTTGAGTATAGTTAATTATCTTTGACTATTTCAAATAAAAAAGTTAAATATAACGTGTAGTCATAAATTCGATTCAATTCTGTTTATTTTTATAGCGCCAAGTCACAACAGACGTCATCTCAGGGAACTGAAAAGAAACATATTATATATATATATATATATATATATATATACACAAGCAAGCTAACCCTAATTATAGGATTTATCAGAAATGAAAGTCTTGAGTTACAATTGGGAAATTTTCCAGTCTTAAGTTATTATTGTCAAATTCTCCATTTAAAAAGCTTCACAATGATGTGTATCTTGTTCAAATTAGATGATTTATCAGCTGGCCTGTCAGCAAGCTTGTTCCATTTACGTGAGTTTATTGGTCAGAAGCAATTCCAGTCGTGTTTAAAAAGGGCAAAACAAACTTCACAATGATGCCCAAGCATTATATACTTCTGATGCTGCTGATTTATTCATGCTGCTGTGTTTATTCATGCTGCTGATTTATTCATGCTGCTGTGTTTATTCGTACTCATCTGCTCACACAGACTCATGTTTGTGTTGCTGTTCGGCGTATTGTTTTTGTACTAGTGCTTAGCGTATTTTTAGTTTAACACTTTTATTTCATAGCTTAGATCTTATTACTGTTTTTCTTTACAATTTATACTTTTGTTGAATGTAACTGGGACTCTGTGTACAGTTTCATTCCACCACATGTACCACATGTGGTGCGTATGGCAAATAAAGAAACTTTGACTTTGACATGGCGATTTCCAGGTGCTATGATAGCAGGCATATAATATTGGCATAATTCAAAGAAAACCGAAAGGATTATTTATGAATACATAGCTGTTAGAAAATTAGATTAGATTAAATTATTCTATGCTTTTTTATTTACTGGGATTTCTGGGTGGAGAGCAGAGACGCACACTTTTAGTACATCCCTCCAATTGTGACCCATCATTCACATAAAACTTACAAAACTACCCCCCCCCCCACACACACACATACAATAAATAAATAAATAAATAAATAAAAACAATCTATGTTGCATTTCATATAAAACACCTTTACCTACCCAAACACACAATCTGCACATGTCCTCTTCAACAGGATAAAACCAATTTAGAAAACACAAGCTGATGATGTCTATAAAACTCACAAAATGTATAATAATAATAATAAACTTTATTTGAAGGGGACTTAGGCACTCAACCACACTGTACAATAAACTACAATATAAAATGCAGTTTAAAAAAAAACAAAAGTATAACAAAAGAAAAAAATATAAGCATCATATACATGTTTAAAAAAACAGTTTTGGCTTAATGCAAGTAAGATCATTGCTTGTGCTCATTTATAAAAATGCGACATTAAGACCATTCTTAACGGTTCGCATCAATAATCAAAACGTACTTCTTTTTATTTTCTTTTTTTAAGCGGCACGCGCTGACAAGGCATGACGTTGTCCAACAATGTTTTGGTTCCTGGTGGTGACGTCACACACAAAAACATGGTTCCGTTGTTTTGAACCCGTAAAGCGTGCTAAGTGCTTCTAACTTCATTCCGTATGGGGATGCTTTCTCCACTCCGAGAGGCTGGAAAAACTACTTAAAGACTCGATGGCTCAGTCCGCGGAAGCCTGCGCAGAGTCCGGACGGAGGCTGGTGCGTACGGTGCGCCGTGTTTACGTTAGCTGAAGCCAAACTGGCAGCGGGCTAATTAGTTAGCTAAGCTAACACGTTTGCAGCTGAAAACGCCGTAGGGATATTTGTCACGACACCGAACCTTTTCAAGTTTGACGGAACAAAATAAACAACGTTAGATGCATTTCACGTTCAACAACAACAAAAAAAAAGAGACCATCTCTAATAATTGCAGAGCTCACGACATTTGAAATGGCACCAAATATGATAAACTACTGAGATTTTCCAAGCAATTAGCTGCCTCTTTTTTTATTTTTTTTCCTCGATAAGCGTCGTTTCACGGTTGAAGCGCGAGACGTCACGTTTATGATGCTGCCATGGTAACGGATGCTGTACTGTCGAAACATCTGTCCCATCAAGTCCCGCTCCAGTTTTAAAGCAACGCTCGCGCAGTCATTCTTAAAAAAAACCTTACTGAGTGGGCCTTAACGACAGGGAGTTAATGTATTTTATTTATTTGTAATTTAAATTGTGCCTGTTTTCAATGCCAGCGCTCCATCTGCCGGAGGATGTACGACGAAAACGAGGACCTGTCCGATGTGGAGGAAATGACCAACATCAGAGGATTCAGTGTGGAGGAGAAGCTGATCAGTGACAGCTACAGCGCAGACTTTGTCCACATAATGGAGGGCAAAGGTACAGAACAACAATGCCTGACGTGCTTCTTTTAATTAGCTGCACCAATCTTTTATTTTGTTTGGTAAATGTGTGCTTTAAACACATCTGTCCTGCAGATTTCACCTATGAGTATGTGCAAAGGGAGGCCCTCAGGACCCCACTGATTTTTAAAGAAAAAGATGAATTAGGGATCAGGTGAGAAGTCTTCTCTGTGCACAATACCGGTGCTATTAGTACCTAATTAAATTATATTAAACATGTTTTATTTAATGCTTTAAATCTGAAAATAACACATTTCTTGTGCGTTTGCAGTTGTTCAACTTTTATATAGCCAAAGCAGCTTATAGGTGTACTGTGTGTGTTATACAGGATGTAGGATGCTTTCTCTTTTGTGTAAGTTTGTGTTGCTTTTCCTAAAAACTAAATAAAAAAACTTTACTGTTTCACTTTCTAAAATCTGAATCTTTTTTTGTTTAACAATATATTCTTTGTGGATTAAAAATGACCAAAATCTTGTTTACCTTTTAACCTAATCAAATAAAATCGAGTATTTTTTTTAAAATTTTTACACAGTTCTGATTACATGTACTTACCTTATTTTATTAACTAACTCTAATTGTGCAGGGCAAACCTCTCTCACTTATAAATGATATGTTGAAAATATGATTAACTTGGAACATTTTTTTACATTTTTATAGAATGCCTGATCCAGAGTTTACAGTCAGTGAAATAAAAGGATTAGTTGGTAAGTTGAACACATTGTAAACATATTTACATCGTATGTAAGCATATGTCTGTAAAAACTATATAAATAAATAACTAAACAATTTCACATGTAAAACTACAGCAGCAGCTAAGATAAATTAAATTAAATACATACATATGATGAGACATTCACCTTAGTAATAGTTTATTTTTTACGCTAGATAACAAATCCCTTTAGCCTTGAACGCTTTCTTCTTTATTAGTTTGTTTTTGTGTCTAAAAAGCCACATTTATGATCCTTACAGCAGAAACTGCTGATAGAAAACATTTTGGACTATTTTCTTACTGCCTTTACTTTGATCAAACTGCAACTTAATGACAGGATAATAAAGTTGTATTTACAAGTGAAAGAGACGGTTTAATTAGTGTAGAAGAACAGAAGAAGTTGCAAGCATCCAAAGTTGTAGTGGAAGTGTGTTTCTTTATTATTATTATTATTATTATTATTATTATTATTATTATTATTATTATTATTATTATTATTATGTAGCAGGTTTAGAAATAAGGATATCTGGTTTTAAGGGTGAAAATTCAAATCAAGCAGTGCATTCAAAAACAGAATTTATTTTGGACTTATGGAAGTAACACGCTGTTTTTATTTTTGTTTTCTCCCTTTTTAATTAGCTTGTTAAATATATCACACATTCTTTGATCTGTTTATTGCTTTTTTTTTTCTGGCTTTATTAATTTTTTTAACTCTAGGTTTGACCTTTTATTACTGTACAGTATGTACTGTCGTTTGGAAAACCCAGTTATTCAACTGCTCCACCTAGTGGTGAAAGCCTTGAATGACACTTATTAGACCTCGAGTACCTGTTAGCATATTTTACTCATTCCTGTACCTTTTTTAGCTGATGCTGATGAGATTGGTGCTTTTATATACTCCTTTGCATGACAACAAAGTTTCCCAGCTTATAATTATGTAATTTTATAGGAAGTGTTGGAGCATGAACTCGAGAATTGCTTTTTTTGAGCAAAATAGGGACAACTCACAAATATGACAGGGTTTTTCCAGTTCCTTTAGTGAGCATTAAAAAAATTCCATCTTTAAATAAATTGTGTTTTTGATACAATTTTCTGGTTTTTATTTTTGATTGCTCAAGTCGTATACAAACCCTTATTTTTTTTTATTTCACCTGGTTATTTCCCACAGGCAGTCGACGGTCTGTGGACGTCATGGACGTGAGCACTCAGAAAGGCTCAGAAATGAGCATGGCTCAGTTTGTTCGTTACTATGAGACACCAGAGGAAGAGCGAGACAAACTCTTTAACGTCATCAGCCTAGAGTTCAGCCACACGAAGCTGGAGAACCTCATCAAGCGACCTAGAGTGGTAATAGAACGTTCCACTTTGATAGAACTCGCAAAGAGACGGCTGAGGTGTAAATATTGGGTTTGGTTTGTTGTCACAGGTGGATCAGGTGGACTGGGTGGACAACATGTGGCCTGCTGATCTGAAACAACGCCAAACAGAAGCCACCAACATTATTTCAGAGATGAAGTACCCGAAGGTGCAGAGGTACATATGACACTTTCGTTTGTGTTGCATTTCAGTCTAAGAGGAAAAACAGATTAATAATGTATCATTATAAAACATAGATAACCGTGAAAACCCTCTAGTTAATAACTCCCCTACCATCCATTTTTTTTTCTGTATTGTTCCATTGCTGTGAAGCAGAGCCTACTTTCACCTCCGCTTTGTGCTCTTGAACGTTGCTGGGCATGTTTTATTTTTTTATTTTTATTATTTTATAGAGAGAGAAATTGATTTTAACAGTTGTGACATGACTGATTTGCACAGATGCCTCTGAGCCAAACATTCAACGAAAAAAAGGGCAAAGTGAACCCAAACCATTAATGCAGTGTTCCCAACCCTGGTCCTTGAGGAACACCATACTGCATGTTTTAGTTGTTTCCTGCTTTGACTCACCTGATCTGACTGGATGGGTTATTAACAGTCTTCTGCAGAACTTGAAGTACTTAAGTCACACTAGGTGTGTTGTACCAGGGGAACAATTAAAACATGCAGGCCGGTGTTCCTCAGGGACCAGGGTTTGGAACCACTGCATTAATGGATTTTCTTTTGACCTCAGTCGCCACTATTTT